TTAACATTTGTACCCCTTTACACTAAGTCATTGTTCTGGTCATTCATCTGTCCTTACATAGAGATAAGCTCAGAAGGAGGATAGAGGGGAGTATCTTGGAGCCTGTCTATGGCATCCTAACATTCCCACAGAGTGGGACAGTTCTGCTTTGTGTAGAGGCCCTGACTCCTTGTAAGTTTGTTAAATGTATTTCGCTTCTGCCGGTCTAATGAACAACATTACAATATGTTTTCTAGTTCAGAATACTATACACGCATTGCTTAGAACATTTAAAATCTACTGCAGCTTTGTGAGAATGAATTTGTTAGGTAATTCAGTAATTATGTTTCTAAAAATGTTACTAATATGTGTATGTTATTCTTACTTTCCACATTACTTATTTCTAAGAATAAGTTACAACATAATTCTTTAGCTCAATTGCCCTTTTCCATTGTTCACTGCAAAAACACCACTTTCCACAACAGAGGACTTTGTTCTGTAGATTTTAACGTGTTTTGCTGTAAGTTGGTTGTTGTCTGTGCTCTGAACGTGCCGGAGCTCTTCATAGCACAGCGTGTTGTAGGATACTGATAGTGAAAGAAAATAGCTTGGAGATAACATTGTAAGAAAAAAGCTCATTTGCAGATGGGGTCTGTGTTGGTTTTCCTCAGAAATGCTGATGTCCCTCTGTCATAGGGAGCTTTTAATTTCCCTTCTTAGTCAGATGATTTCCAGACATAGGCCTCTTGCTTCCAAATGAGCTTTCAGCATGCGAACCTTGGAGTTGGCAAGCAGCCTTGTGAACTGTAGGCTCTGGCAGGGTGCTTTCTTGAGGGATCGGGGTCTGCAGTCTGCATTTTCCACAACCACACACTGAGAAGTGTTTCAAAGCCAAAAAAAAAAAAAAAAAAAAAAAAAAAAAAACCCAAAACATCCTTATATTTAAAAAAAAATAATAAAAAAAATAAATAAATAAAATTAAGGAAGAAACATAGCCACAAAAATTAACGTAATAAAACTTGGGGATTTCTAAGTGATGATGCTGTAGCCAAAGTTTCTTGCCAATATGCAGTTTGTTACAGGCTTCAGATTTAAATTGGCTTTAGAAGATTATTGGAGAGTTAAAGGATGTTCTCTGTACTTAGAGATTGTTGTAGAAGGGTGACATTTGAGATCTTATGCCTGATGAAGGATCTTCTTGTGAGAAGGAGTGTTATAGCAGCTCACTAATCCTGTGTGGGAACAACAGAGACAAAGATCTGTACTACGTGGATTTCAGGATGGGGAGAGATGCTGAATTGCCTGAGTACATCCTGTTAAACTGTAAAACAAATGAGATCAGAATCCTGACTATTTAGGTTCTGTTTTTCTGTATCTATCATATTTACCACGTAGAGCATAGGGGAAATATTTCTGTGGTTTCATGGATTTCAGAGTATGAGACACAACTGCAATTTTGATGACAACAGTTAAAAAAAGAGTAACTTCTGAGTGTCTTAGTTCTAGATTTGTGGTTGCTAGCTGAACTCCATTATAACAATGTGTTTTGAATAAGTAGCTGAAACTTGTTCTGTCTTCTAAATATATCAGTTTCAGTGAGTTAGAAGGTAGAATCAGAAATTTCATTTCATGTCTGATTTCAAGTGGACTGCTCGCTCGGATCCTTCTGCTTGATTCTATTTCTCCTGGGTCAGCTTGTGTGAATAATGTGTACAACATGACACATTAGAGATGACAACTTACAGGGTTTTGCAGTGAGGATCGTAGCTGCCTGCTCTAATATTTGTAACCTTGCTTTAGTAGCGTCTCTGTGTTAAACTGTACTGTAGAAATAGGAATTGTTAATTGCCTTGATGTTTTTAAATAGACTCCTTCTAGTAATTGGTGAGCTTCTTGTTTGGAAAGAAATATGTTTTAATTTGTTGAGCCTGTTTTATAGCATTTTGAATATGTAATTCGGTTTTTGGTAATAAAACTGTAGTATTTGTTTTAGGCTGCACCCAGTTGTTCTACAGAACACACAGTACAAAAATTCTGTACATGTAGCTGCTGTTCTATAAGTGCCTAATATCTGGATTTCTTTTGGATTCCTATGTGAAAGTGGTTTTTGTTTGTTTTTCAAAAAGGGAAAGCTTTTTTTTAAAGAAATGTTAAGACTTACATTTTATTTTTTGCATCAGTTTGGTTTTGATTTTATTTTTAGGTAATGTAATAAATTTCTGACCATGGAAGACTTAGTGCTGGGGCAAACAAACAAGCAAACAAAAAGAAACAACAAGACAACAATACAAGGAGAACCTTGCACTTATTTACTTGAAATGAATACACATTTTTGTGGGTATGATAAACTTTCTTTAGTTTAGATACAAATATATTTTAGTTCTGTTTCCATTAACTTCAAAATATCAGTTGGCTGAGCTAACAAGGAATCATAGGAGTCAGCAGTCATACATCAGCTTTCTTTCTATGAGTGTGTTACTTAACTGATAAAGAGATTATTGATTTTAAAATAGTTGCTGGAAAAAAAAGAAAAAGAAAAAAAAAAAGTGTAACAGGGACGTAACTGTCTTTAAATTTGGCCTTTTCCAAGGCAGATGCATGAAGAATTATTTTACTTTTTGTTTTAGATTTCAGAGATGGATTTATCAGAAAGGCCAACATTGTGAAGTGAACAAACATCCAGTTAACTAGTGTTGCAAAGGTTAATTACAAAACTGTTAATGAAAATCTGGAAACACAGTGGAAATGCATTACTGAAAATGGGGCATGAGAACATCATGTCTGAAAGTGTGAAATGATCTTTAGAAACTGGTTTCTTGACTAATCGTGTGCTTCATGCTCAGTTAATTTGTTAATGAGGAATAAATAACATTCTAGTTGAGAGAAAACAATTTGTGCTGAATGTAGTTGGAAGACAAGGGAATTACCAGCAATGTTTTCTTTGTTAGCATTAGCTAAAAGCCTTCGAAAAAGGGAAACATAACCCCCATTTTGAAGAAGGGAAAAAAAGAAGACCCCAGGGAACTACAGGCCAGTCAGTCTCACCTTTGTGCATGGCAAGATCATGGAGCAGATCTTTTGAAGACCCCACTAACACACGTGGAAAATAAAGATGAGGTGATTGGTGGTAAGCAACGTGGCTTCATCATGCTTGACAAACTTGGTGGCCTTTTATGATGGAGTTACAGCATCAGTGGATAAAGGAAGAGCAACTGACATCACCTACTTGGACTTGTGCAAAACATTTGATACTGTCCCACACGATATCCTGATCACTGAATTGGAGAAAAATGGATTTGATGGAGGGACCACTCACGGGATAAGGAATTGGCTGGATGGTTGCACTCAGAGTTGCAGTCAACAGCTCAATGTCCAAGTGGACACTATTGATGAGTGGTGTTCCTCAGGGATCAGTGCTTGGGATCAGTGTTGTTTAACATCTTTGTCAGCAACACAAACAGTGGGATCAAGTGCACCCTCAGTAAGTTTGCAGATGACACCAAGCTGAGTGGTGCAGCTGGAACTCCAGAGGGAAGGGATGCTATCCAGAGGGACCTAGAGAAATTTGAGAGGTGGGCCTATGCTAACCTCATGAAGTTCAGCCAGGCCAGGTGCAAGGTCCTGCACCTTGGTTGGGGCAATACCAAGGACAGATACAGGTTGGGCGGAGAATGGCTTGAGAGCAGCCCTAAGGAGTAGGATTTGGGGGTGCTGGTTGATGAAAGACTCAACATGAGCTGGCAATGTGTGCTTGCAACCCAGAAAGCCAACTGCATCCCGGCTTGCATCAAGAGAAGTATGGCCAACAGGTGATGATTCTCCCTCTCTACCCTGCATCCAGTTCTGGGGCATGCAACACAAGAATGACATAAAGCTCTTGGAGCGGTTCCAGAGGAGGGCTATGAAGATGACCACAGGGCTTGAGCACCTCTCCTTCAAGGACAGACTGAGAGAGCTGGGGCTCTTCAGCCTAGAAAGAAGGGCTCCGGAGGAAAGCTTCCAGAACCTGAAGGAGGCCTACAGGAAAGCTGGGGAGAGAATTTTTATAAGGGCATGTAGCAACAGGATGAGGAGAAAGAGTTTTAAACTGAAAGAAGGTAGATTTATACTAGATATTAGGAAGAAATTCTTTACTGTGGGTGGTGAGACACTGGAACAGGTTGCCCAGTGAGGTTGTGGATGTTCCCTCCCTGGAAGCATGCAAGGCCAGGCTGGATGGGGCTTTAAGTCTAGTGTCCCTGCCTCTAGCAGGGGGTTAGAACTACATGATCTTAATGGTCCCTTCCAACCCAACCCATTCTATGATTCTCTGATACAACTGATGTTTCTGCTCCACTAGTGCCATAGCCTGCTGAATATTCTTTCCAGACCAATGAATCATTAGTTCAACATAGCGCCTCCAGCCCCTTCTGGAGGCCCTAGTTCCAAGGGATTTTGGCTCCTATGTTATGCCATTACCTTGGCAATCCCCAAGTCCTCTTCCTCTGATGGCTCAGCTGCACTGCCTGGGCTGCTTTACTTTTTTTTGATAGGACTGAAATCCACTAGATTCCATGTTTCTATTCTCTAATGTAATATGTCCTATGATTTTAACTCCTTCTGCTTTAATTGTCTGAACAATTGTGATAGGACCTGATTAGGCTGTGTGCCAATCTTTTTAAACTGAACTCCTGCCCTAATCAGGTCATTAAACATTTGCTTTCTTAAGACCCTAATGGGTCCATATCGGATTACTTTAGAAGTCAGTCTCTGAGCTGGTGGTCATAGATGGACCTCTGACCTCTCCAACACCATTCAG